ATAACCTTATTATTATAAGTCTTTTCCTACCAAGGATACATCATTGGAATGCCGAAATCAGCGAACTTCTTTGTATGGAGTCCGGTCAAACCCTTGTGGCAGCCATGTTTGTTTTTATTATTAGAAGACGTTTACGCGCGTAATCATTCCATATTTGGAATTAGCATTTCCTAATATGGTAGGATGAAAATACCCCGTAAAATACCGCAAAATTACGGCACGCTGTAACGTATGGCGTTACGGTAACAGATGTATAATAATAATAGTTACAAGAACTGAAGATTTGTATATTCTTAACAAGTTTGGACATTTGTTAGCTAACCAGTGAGTGAACACAATTGGGTCTAGCTAGGAGATATGGAATCATACAAGATTAGCTTAAATGTTTGCCTGTATTTAGTCTCGCCACAGTCCCTCCAGTGGAGTCAATACAGTGGAGGGACTGTGGTCTAGCAAACCATATCTAAAATAAAATTGCCATGCACGATTTAAATTAGTTGGGAGAATTCCAGGACGAATTAAGAAAGCATTCCGTTGATATTTTCTACATAAATACAGAAAAACGCCAAGAAGAAATATCCCATTGAGGTCAGTTATGTTGAACACCTCTGACATAACAAATATACATTCCAAAGTAAAAAGGATGTTTTAGGACGACCTAAATAAAGATATTTTGGCTGTGTTAAAGCATGAAGGTACAAGGAAACCAAATTTTAATTTAATTTACTCAACAAACAAAATATTTGTGCATGCCTTAGGTACCTAAATGTGAAACAGACTTACATCGTTAATTTGTCATCCCAAATACCAGTGAATCCAACTTTGGGAGTTATAGCTGAAAATGTGAGCCCCCCCCCTTCTCCTCCAGACAAATTACTTATCGGGTCAACTATGGATTTTTTTTTAGCTCCATGGGTCAACTACCACGTGAGCATAGGAGATTTATATCACCTGATTCTGTAGAAACACTGGTATTTACACGTGCATGTGCATGTATCTACTCTAATCACGGAGATGTTTTACCTCTCATATCAGCACAGTAATGCATTCACCAGCTCTAAACACATGTGCAACTAATATCACCTGATTACAAGGTCACAGGCACCGCATAGAAACATATACGCATTACTAATGCCACAAAAATGGTGCAGTAAAGGCATTATTTATAAACTAGGTTTTATTTTCAATATTTTCGCTAATAAGTAAGATTCACTAAATTAAATAAATCTGTGTGAACATATGCAAAACTGTAAATTCTGAAACTGATTCATGAAATTAAAACCCAGTGAAAAGGCTCAAACATCAAAATAGTGAAATTAAATGCCAGTGAAAATAAATGATTTTACAGTATTGCCAAAAACATATTTGCTCCATTAGTAGTATATATCATACTGTAAACGTCTTTAATCTTGCAAGAGACAGACTTACATGAATTTAGCAGGTCAGGGAAAATCACGAAATTTTGTAACAGTGTCGGTGATTTTTCCTTTACAATTGCCATGAAATCATTAAATCGGGAAAATTTATCGCACCAAAAATTTACACTTTTTACTATATACGAAGATAGGGAAATGACACAGGTGTGCCTACATGTATAGTCAAAACCTGGAGGTAAAAATAAAAATCTATTTTTTAGCTCTATGGTCAAAATATGTTATATTTTAATAATTCAACATGCATATATCTAATTCTTGATTCAGAACAGACCAGACCAGTCGGTCCCTTTATCTATTTTTACCTCCATGCTTTATCTAACCACGGAAGGTACTAACAGTTACCTTCCATGATCTAACCCTTTGATAGAGCACAGTCCATGAGGGAATGTGGATAGAGGGACTGTGTTCAGAAACACAACTGACTTGCAAAGTAGAGCAGTCAATCTATTATAATCACTCAGTGTAACGTATTTTTGGTTGTGTTTAATAATCAGGAAATTTTGTACATGTAATTGTAAATGCAACATAATTTGCTGTTTGTCTTCACTTTTTGTTTATCATTGTTATGCAATTTTTGTTGGTTGTCTTTGTAGTTTTTTAGTGACCTCACTGCTGCTGTGCTTACAAGACATGTCAAAAAATAAATATAAATAAACTACAAAATCAAATAAACTAAATGATAAAACGAAAAGAGTACACAAGCATCAAGTTACGTTTACAAACATGGTCTATGTAAACTATTGACAATGTAACAACTTAATAATAAATGTAACCACAGTCCCTCCATGGAGGTATACCTCCATGGTCCCTCTATCTAAAGGGACTGTGATGTAACTTTTCCTGCTGCTTCATTTTGGTGAAAGAAGTCTTATAATTTATGGAGATAAATTGACTGTGTTCTGACAAGTTATAAGTTTTAATCAAGCTATCTTAGCTAAGTACAAGATGTAGCTAATAAGAGGTAAAAGTTGATTCACACAATGCGATTACAGAAGCTTTAGCTAAATTAAGACTTTTTTTAATTCATGCATCGACCAAATTTCACTATAATGACATGTAATTATTTCAAAGGGTGTCACACACTAATCAAGGAAAGAGTAGAGTTGTGCATGATTACTATAAAATGACATGGGTTTATATTTCTATGAAACATTCATCGATATAATCTGTGTTCCAGTATCAAATACAGGGAGAGGCACTTTCAAAAGCATTAAAATAACATAGGTATAAAACTTAAACTTGCAATGGATGAACTAAGGTTTAGTGTCTTAAAAACTGAACACACTGTTGACATCTTGGTTTCAAAAGACCGTGATTCAATAGAAGAAGACAATTAAGTGTCAATGATGAATGAATGAATGAATGAATAGCTCAAAGGCACCCTGTGTGAAAAACAGTCTACACCCACCTTGAGAGCTCAGAATCTATATCCTCATTCTTATTTGTGTCGCCATTCATCATGGAATTGCACTGTCCAAGAGAAAACATGATGCTAGGTTTATCCTCGGTAGTCGCCTGGCTGATAACGCTCAATAATAATCAGTCGCATCATGGTTAACTCAGCACCCCTCGCAGTAACATTATCAATGTCCTGTGTTTTTCCCTATTTTATAAATTCTATGTACTTTGCCCCTTGACCCCTTAGTTATGTTAATAAAAGCTGGAATGAATGAGGGGTCATCATATTCGCATAACAATAACTGATCACCTAGGTGTGCTTGTATGTAGGTGAACCCTGGTCAACACTGCATTATAATGAATTAGTCTTTATCGGTAAAATGCAGAGAATTATTTTCATAAAATAATCATAATTATCATAATAAAAGTGTAGAAAAATTAATGTACAAAATAAAATTTGCTGTTTGCTATGCTACAAATACCAAATAATTAGTCATCAAGATCTGAAACCTGCCTCTTGGTGGCGCTATTTTCACTCTGATTGATTGGTCAAAACATATGCATGTCATTTTAGTTCAATCATAGAGGGGGAGAAAATCATTTTCACAAATATGAAATTAACAATAAAATAAAATTTCAAAAAAAATATTTTTTTTCTATATTTTCCACTTATGCACAATGCTGAAATATTGATTCACCACAATGATTCAAAGTGTTTTTTTGTACTGAAAAATAAGTCAGTATCATTGGACAAAAACAATCTAATTTGCATAACATTAGCATAATCACTGTATATTATTTATTACTGTATACACATACCTAGTATTATCTTAGAATCAATGTTGAGATAAAGAATTCAAGAGAGATTTCCAACAGCTGAGATCGCAAAACTTTGAAAACTATTGCAGTTTGTAGACTGTCAAATATAATCAGCTTTTCAGGTCCCCCCCCCCCAGATGCTTGTAGATTAGCATCTAGTGGAGATGGTGTACTGTAAACAGTTTTAATTTTCTGCGAGTCAAAATTTCGAGCATTTCATGAGTCAGTGAAAATCTTTGTATTAGTGAAAAATTCTTTGCTGTCCAATAATACTGAATGTCAGTGACTTTCGTGAAATTTTTTTTCATGAGTGGAATAAAATCGTCACATTGCAAACATTTCTAGCACTGAAAATTAAATGGTTTACAGTAGTTACATCTATGATTTTCCTGATTCTATACTTGTGAGCAGAGAAGAAAGTAAAACTCCTGATTGGCCAAAAGTAGTCATGTGACTTGTTGTCAATGCATTGTGGGATGTTTCTACATAAATTATGGTACCCTTTGTTTTGGAAGGGGAAGAATTCACTCATTGTTTACTTTTATATGCAAGTAGACTTGTTCATGTGCAATAAATGTACTTGTGTATGTGATGTAAATTCTGGTGCAATGTTATGTAAATTATAGAGAAAACTAACAGAATCTCTTGTAGCAATTTACAACAATTCCAAATAAGAATATCTCAGTAGCCACCCTAAATTAATAAAATTTCTGTCATGTTTTTCTTGTGTAATTCTCATTGTTTATAATCCCACAAATATATGATGATAACGTCTTTGTTGATTTCAGACATGGTCCTCCTGCACCTACAATACTGAGTCATGCAATACTAAACAAGTGGCCTATGTGACAATGTTAAATTGCAATAGAACCTTCACTGGAAAATATAAGTTTTATTCAAGCTATCTTAGCTAAGTACAAGATGTAGCTAATAAAGAGAAAAGTTGATTCACACAATGAGATTGCAGAAGCTTTAGCTAAATTAATAGGGTCAAGATGCCCTAATTCTTCACTAGATTCAAGAGCCCCAACTGCCTCACTCCGGCTGCCTCACCACAAGAGTCCAGATGCCTTACTGTCTCACTAGAGTCATTGCTCAAACCACAGTCCCTCAACACTGTAACTGAGCTCAAACATACATTAACGATACATTAGGACCCCAAGAATATATGCTGTTACACTTACATTTTGTGCATGTGTGCAGGGGTATGGTTCACTTATGATGTTATTCATGTACCGGTATGTGCACAGTGAGACATTTGTTACCAGACATACACTTGCTAGATGGGAAACACTAGGTGAAATTGTGATGGTCAGGTCTATAATAATTTTAAATTTGTATAAATTCAGGTACTGTAAAATACATTATTTTTGCTGGAATTAATTAATTAATTAATTTTGGGTGTTTTGTATGGAATTTATTTTCACTGATTTTCGACGAGTTTAATTTGAGACATAAGGAAAAAAAGTATATTCGCTGGATTCTATTTTCACTGAAGCATCCCTTGAGCGAAAATAGCAAAAATAAATTCCACACGAAAATAAAGTATTCTACAGTAAGTTTATCTCTACCATAGTGTATCTCTACCATTGTGACACTTAAAATTCCTCAGAAGGAACTACTAAAACACATATTTAAATGCACAAATTTTACAAAAATTACTATATAAAGCACGACAATGGTTTTTAAAAAAAATACAATTAAAAAAACTGGAGATAATAATAAAAATAAGCAATATAAATCAATGAAACATGAAAAAGGAATGAAAGAAATATTTATGTTAATTTGCCAGAAGGTGTTGCTGTCTAAGGTTCGTGCTATTTTCGATAAATTGGGCAACTGGTATTTGTACATTCAGGTTTGTATCACCATTACTTTTAAAAAATTGTTGTAGCCACTCATTTTTATGAAGTTTATAATATGTTTAGTTGTCTCTTCAAATAGTGCTTTTTGTGTTTTTTTTAGTAAAAGGGACATTTAATAATAAAATGGTACTCATCTTCTACTTTATTATTCAAACACAATTCGCAGATTCTTTTTCTTATTTCGGTTTTGGTTTGGTTAACTCCCTGTTTAAATTTTTAGTTTATGGTTGCTCAGACGGAACCTACTGTGATCAGCTAGAAACTGATTTCTCAGAAACACAACAAAATACTCCCACTGGAAACGAGCATTGTGTAACAATGAATTAAATTTAAATAAATTCAGTGTATGTAATGTTCAGTTTATTTCTACCATAACCTTATTAATCAGCTAGGAACTGGTTTCTCAGAAACACAACAAAACACTTCTACTGAATTGTGTAACAATGCTAACCAGGAAGTGACCTAAATTTTTATAACTTGCACTTGGAATGTTTTAACAGCCAAGTATACTAGTACTTCGGAAAAAATTAGTGTCTCTTGCCATCATGCACACATCAGTTTGAAAAAATATGAAAATACTCGTTTTAAGTATTTTGTCAGAATTTAAAGAAAAATTCAATACTGATTCATGACAAATCCAAAATGAAAAAAGAAGATTAGCAAATAATAATAATGTTATAATGGAAAAAAAATATCCACATGACTTCAATTATGGAAAAGAAGTTTTTTTTTCTTTTTTCTGGGTCATAAACACCTGCCATAGTATATCTGTTAAGTTTAAGACATCATCCTTTGTAGTGTTGACCAGGATACTAGCCATCTTACATTATTAGGAAAGACATATCCCAAACGAACAACAAAAGATACCGAATTGTACTTACATGTATTAAACAACATATATCACTGACGTCTATAATATCAGAGGTACATTACTTGGGGTTTGCAACAACGGTGACATGATACCAAGATCCCATCACAATCTCGCTCTCGCATAAGCGTTCCAACTCAGAAAAATGCGAATGTGCATGCCCGAGGTAACTAGGATACTGGGATGTCCAGGTGGATCAAAATAGCTGCCCACGATATGACGGATTACGAGAACTATATTTTCTGTACATTTTCGATGTATTACATTTTTCACTACGATAGTGGCAAGAAAAGTTTAATTTTTTCATTACAAACCTTGAACATTGATATATGTCATGTCAGAAGGTCGTAGCCTCAGTCTCGCTATCTACGAGAAGAGACTTGAATGGGATCTTGACATGATGTCACAATACAGTACTATGCGAGTTGCAAACCCCAAGTAATGTACCTCTGATAATATTAATAAGTTTTATGCTGTTTCTATGCATACTTTGCAATTTTTATATTATTTTTTCACTGCGAATGACATTTTACTGTTGTTAAATGTTTTCAGAAATTATATTACAGCCGTTTATTACATATACTTATGCAGTAATTGAAGTTCGTTGTCCAGTTCAACTTTACTCGCAAAACCCACGACGTAATTACAAGTTTTTTTTCAGATCTAAACGCCCAACCGCACAGCGTATAACACGCATGCTAACAAATTATATTTGAGGTAAAAACTTTTGACAAATGACTCACCTCGGCGAACCGTACAACCCTTGGGTGATCACCGAAGTTGGACGTGATGTTCTCTTGAGACCAGACATTTCACTGTTATTTCTTGTTACTTCGATGTTATTGTGTGCACACACATGAAATAAAATACCACTTTCTGAATGTCAGTTCACAGTCAGTGGATTTCACTTTTTACGCATGCGTTTTAGCCAACCCGGAAGCGAGGGAGATTCTATTTTAGTCAAGGAGTCAAGCGCTCGGTGATGCATGAATTGTAGCGAATACAAATTGGTATGTGTTCAATATTATACGATTAAATCTTAAAATATTTCAGATATATTATTTTAAAAATAATTTCCTGGATTATTAAAACTTGGATAACGTAAGTAAACGTAATTTCTCCCATTGTTATTTCACACGTCAAAATGGTGCGGCGCAGGTGTTTCAACTTTTCGAGGTCACGCCCAGTGAAATAAATTTATGGCGGCCGAACGAGCTAGAACGTCGATGGGACGTCCTGAAATTTATCCGACGAGAGTTCCTTAATCTCCTCTAAAAATCACAATATCAGGATTATTGTGTCAAGATTCACAATGAGTTCCGACAGAATACTAGAAACCGCCAAACAAGGCGACACAGAAACGCTGAAATATCTTTTGCAGCAACGTCAACTTTCCGATCGAGTGTGTGACCGGTTCGGAGCAACTTGTTGTCACTATGCTGCGCGGTCGGGGCAGTTAGAAACGCTTAAATGGCTTATATTAGGCGCTGGTTTGACGGGAAGTAAGCGAACTAGAAATGGAGCCAACCCTTCGCATGATGCTGCGGCTGCGGGTAAATTGAAATGCTTGCAGTGGTTGCTACAAGATAACGCGGGTGGATGTTGGCTGAACGACCCTGACAACAGTGGCTGCAATGTCCTGCATTTGTCTGCCAGGTTTGGTCATCTAAGTCTCTTGCATTGGCTAGTTGAAGACCAAGGTATGGACGTAACCAAACGAGCCGGCAATGGAATTAGTGCCATACATTTCGCGGCTGCAAGAGGGGATAAAAACTGTCTTATTTATCTGCTACAAAAAGCACCAAGGTATGTAACATGATTTCCAACGTGGAATATTGGACCATCCAGTCTTTTGAACCGTGGCTGGACAATCTAATTGCTCACCGATAACACGTCTTCCACACGACAGGTATTGTTATTTTATTAACAATGCCTATTGTTCTTATTTAATCTTAAACAAATAACATAACAATTCACAAGGTGTAACTTTAATTAAATCACTTTAGCTGTCTTGGATCAGGATTATCTTTTATGAGCCCATATTAAAGATCTATAAACGGGCCTATACAAAACTAGGGCAGGTAAACCATATCTGGACTTCAGTGCCAGTCAACAGAGCTGTAGCCAAATATGGGCATTGAAGTATACATACCAACACAGTAAGTACTTGGCATATCAAAATACTGGTATTCTGATCTGACCTGCAAAGCTTAGTTGCTTGGTACTTAACCCTTGTACAGGACTGTTTATCATGGGGTCACACACAACTAATAATCCATGCAATAACACACATCATTTGGGCTACTTCTTAGTTATAAAATTTTGCTCTCTGATTTAGACAAGGAATCATTAATTTGCAAAATAATGCTATGGAACATATTTCCTCCGTGAAATATACAAGTAAATAAATAAATAAATAAATAAATAAATAAATAAATAAATAAATAAATAAATAAATAAAATAAAAAAAACAATAAGTAGATAAAGGGGCCTTTATCTATATATAGCCCACACTCTGAAATACATTAGTTAGGCCCTGTGTTTAGCACTGTTTTGATCTGGCAAACTAATGCTTGATGCTCCTGATTTGGTGAACACCGTATCAACAGTTTGTTTGCTAAAATATTTTTTACCTAATTTTAATTTACCTGCATAAGCATCTAGCATGCCTGCTTTGAATGCAAAGGTCAGCATGTGTCACCATTTACAAATTAACCAACTCATATTTTATATTTTTAGCTCCGCTGTCGACTTTGTCGAGCGGAGCTTATCATATGAGTGATTGTCCGTCGTCGTCGTCCGTGTCAATGTTTTACTTTTTCGACTTCTTCTTGAAAACTACAAGCCTGAATGCTTTGATACTTGGTGTATATGTACCTTTGGTATACCTCTCTTAGGTTTGTTCATTTCATGTATATATCTTCAATTCTCTAATTTTGGTGAATATTTTTGTCATTTTTGGTAAAAAGTGATATTTTCGACTTCTTGTTAAAAATCGCAAGTGCAATTGCTTTGATATTACATATATAGGTACTACATGTGGACCTCTCTCAGATTTGTTCATTTTGTAATGATATCTTTAATTCTCTAATTTTGGTGAATATTTTTGTCATTTTTGGTAAAAAGTGATATTTTCGACTTCTTGTTAAAAACCGCAAGTCCAATTGCTTTGATACTACATATATAGGTACTACATGTGGACCTCTCTCAGATTTGTTCATTTCGTGATGATATCTTCAATTCTCTAATTTTGGTGAATATTTTTGTAATTTTTGGTAAAAAGTGATATTTTCGACTTCTTGTTAAAAACCAAAAGTTCAATTGCTTTGATATTACATATATAGATGCTACATGTAGACCTTTCTCAGATTTGTTCATTTTGTGATGATATCTTCAGTTCTCTAATTTTGGTGA